ACATGCCCAGGGTGTATCCCACACGCCCAGAGGGTATCCCATGGGATCAGGGGGTATCCCACATGCCCAGGGTGTATCCCACACGCCCAGAGGGTATCCCATGGGATCAGGGGGTATCCCACATGCCCAGGGTGTATCCCACATGCCCAGGGTGTATCCCACGGGACCGGGGTGTATCCCACACGCCCAGGGGGTGTCCCGGGGGGGGTCAGGGTGTATCCCACATGCCCAGGGGTATCCCATGGGATCAGGGGTATCCCAAGGGGGTCAGGGTGTATCCCATGTGACCAGGGGGTGTCCCACGGGACCAGGGTGTATCCCACACGCCCAGGGGGTGCCCGGGGGGGGATCAGGGTGTATCCCATATGAGCAGGAGGTATCCCATGGGATCAGGAGGCATCCCACATGACCAGAGGTATCCCACATGACCAGGGTGTATCCCACGTGACCAGGAGGTATCCCACGGGACCAGAGTGTATCCCACGGGATCAGGGGGTATCCCACATGCCCAGGGTGTATCCCACGGGATCAGGGGGTATCCCACATGACCAGGGTGTATCCCACGGGACCAGGGTGTATCCCACGGGACCAGGGTGTATCCCACAGGATCAGGGTGTATCCCACACGCCCAGGGGGTGTCCCGGGGGGGTCAGGGTGTATCCCACATGACCAGGATGTATCCCACGGGATCAGGGTGTCTCCCACATTCCCAGGGGTATCCCACGGGATCAGGAGGTATCCCACGGGATCAGGGTGTATCCCACACGCCCAGGGGGTGTCCCGGGGGGGGTCAGGGTGTATCCCACATGACCAGGAGGTATCCCAAGGGGGTCAGGGTGTATCCCAAGGGGGTCAGGGGGTATCCCACGGGACCAGGGTGTATCCCACGGGATCAGGGGGTATCCCACATGACCAGGGGTATCCCATGGGATCAGGGGGTATCCCACCCGCCCAGGGGGTGCCCGGGGGGGGTCAGGGTGTATCCCACAGGACCAGGGTGTATCCCACATGCCCAGGGGGTATCCCAAGGGGGTCAGGGTGTATCCCACGGGACCAGGGTGTACCCCACCCGCCCAGGGGGTGCCCGGGGGAGTCAGGGTGTATCCCACATGACCAGGAGCTATCCCACGGGACCAGGGTGTACCCCACCCGCCCAGGGGGTGCCCGGGGGGGTCGGCAGGTACCGATGATCCTGCCCAGGGCCCTGCCGGGCACTCGCAGCTCCTCGGCCACGGGGGCACAGTCGGCCACGAGGCTCAGCACGGCCGCCTTGGCCCGGCACGCCCGCGCCGGGGACCCCCAGATCCGCACCAGGGCCCCCTCCTCGGGGGCCTCCCCCTCCTCGGCCTCCCGCACCGCGATCTGCGCCCCCGTCTCCCGCCGCAGCTGCCGGGGAACGGGGAAACGGGGGAAACGGGGGTTCACAGGGATCCCAGGGGGTGTCCCAGTGCTCCCAGTACCCCCAGGGTNCCTGTGGGATTCCAGGGGGTCCCATGGGATCAGGGGGGTCCTAGGGGGCCCAAAGGTCCCTGTGTGATCGGGGGGGTCCCATGGGATCAGAGGGGTCCCATGAGATTGGGGGTTGTCCTGGGGGGTGTGAAGGTCCCTGTGGGATCAAGGAGGGTCCCGTGTGATCAGGGGGGTCCCATGGGATCAGGGGTATCCCACGGGATCAGGGGGTATCCCATGTGATCAGGGGGGTATCCCATGGGATCAGGGGGTATCCCATATGACCAGGGTGTATCCCATATGACCGAGGGTATCCCATGTGATCAGGGGTATCCCACGGGATCAGGGTGTATCCCACGGGATCAGGGTGTATCCCATGGGATCAGGGGGTATCCCACATGACCGGGGGGTGTCCCGGGGGGGGTCAGGGTGTATCCCATGTGACCAGGGTGTATCCCACAGGATCAGGGTGTAACCCATGTGACCAGGGTGTATCCCACGGGATAAGGGTGTATCCCACGTGACCAGGGTGTATCCCATGGGATCAGGAGTATCCCACATGACCAGGGGGTATCCCAGGGGGATCAGGGGGTATCCCATGGGATCAGGGGGGTCCCATCTGATCAGGGGGTATCCCACATGCCCAGGGTGTATCCCACACGCCCAGAGGGTATCCCATGGGATCAGGGGGTATCCCACATGCCCAGGGTGTATCCCACACGCCCAGAGGGTATCCCATGGGATCAGGGGGTATCCCACATGCCCAGG